CAAGATAATTCTATTTTTTCTGCCAGTTCATTTATAAATATTGAAAAAAGAAACGGGCTCAAGACACATCTTTGGCGTACACCAATATTTCACTCAAACATGTCAGAGAAGGAGTAATTATATTTTACATATGACTTTATATACTAAAAGCAACCTAAAACCATTCTCACTCACTGACTTCACTGACATGTGTTATGTTTGTTTCGAACAGGTGCTTACCACTAGTGCAGAAAGACTCGGGTGATCAGAGACAGCTTCACGGGAGCCACAATCAAATAGTACAGCTTCACTTTAGTGGCAAATATACTGAACGCCACTTCCACAGAGAGGTTTACCTGCATCTGATATAGTGTCGCTACCATGGGTACTATCAGTATGCCACTGTGGGATATTCTCAGTGTGCCTCTGGTTTGTTGTGCTAGCACAGTAGTTACCGATGCCAGCTTAGAAGAGATGAGTAGCGCCTCCCTGCTTGAAACTATGGCTTCATGCCATATATCCCACGAGTGCAATATGACAGAAGACGGTATGGTGTGTCATCTAACTACATATTATCGAGGACAACTGACCGTGTATCGTTTGAATTCCCGTGGATCAATTCTATTCCAGCTGATGAAAGGTACACAGGGTGGGATTGAACAGAAGAAGATGGAGATGAACACATGTTCCTGCCAAATAGCAGGATATGGAAAAGAGTTCAGCAATAAAACTTCTCTTCTATTTGTGTACAACACAAGGGGGCTTTTCTTCTATGAAGGCAATAACATTAAAACAATGCATAAAGTAACCTTAGATTTTTCGGGGGAAATTTGTGATATTTATGCCGACATGAGCCAATGCACTTTCTTCTGGATGTACAGATCACTCCGGAAAAAAACATACAGCTCCATGTGTTTTGATGGCAAGGAAAGAAAGAAGATATTTGAAGGGGAAGCGAGTTGTATATTCTATGACCATATTCGACGGCTTCATTTCTTTGTCGGTTACCGAAACAGATCTTATGTTGTCAGGGTTTTCAGCGATGCAAAAAACATCAGCGATATTTTCAAAACTCGAAGACGTCTAGATTGCAGGTGCTTTGCTCACCATGCCGCTTCACAAACTTTAGTTATATGTATGAGAACGGGAAGCATAGGATTAACGATGCAACACACATTGTATACTCTTAACTACAAAAGTATTTACGAATTGGTGCCTAGAAAAGTTTTGGAGGTCGACTGTTGGCTAGTCTTCGTTGCTGTCATCTCGCTCGATAAGCTAGCCATACAATATGAAAAGGACACTGTATATCTATATGACATAGCAAGCAACACAAAGAAAGCCATCGTAAAGTGTCCATTTCAATCACTTCGTGTCCCTCGAGTTGGGGTTTGGGACAGTCAGGTTTTTATTATGTGTACTGGTCGTAATGATACTTATTTCTATTTTGCCACGCTGGTAGGGGTGCAGACGATGCACATCAAAACACTGAAGGGTGCAAGGTTTGTCACTGGAATAGCTTGAAGGTGGCTGTTCTTTACATGGTGCCGCCCATACAATGAAAATGAGTGCGTGAGTTGGGTTTAACACAGCTTTGAATGGGATGACATGGGGATGATATAGGATACAACGTCGCATTCGAGATTATTAATTCACGAAGTATAGGCCATCGGCCCATTGCATGTTGCAACGGTGCAACAGCCAATTTGTAACATTTCTTTTTTCAAATTATTAGCATAGAAAATAAATATTCCCATATTTTGTAAAGTATTCGAGTTGTTTTCAGACATTAACATGTTAAATTTGTGTAAACTAGGAAATATATAATACTTTGTAGGGACATGCAATTGCCGTAGGTGTTCATATGCATTACATATCAATATAAAATGGTATTAACTTTCAACATAACCGCAGCTACACATATCGCATACGCTTTGGTTTCTAGGCATGCTCACGTGACTACCAGTTTCTAGTTTTAGACGATGTGAGCCACATCTAAACCTAGCAAGATCGACACGAAACTTGTTTATAGTGATACAGCCAATATATGGTTCAACGCCAAAACTGGGTTTAGATAAGGAGTACGAGAACGTTTAAATGCCTAGAGATGGAGGCATGCATATCCTGCTGGTACATATATTGTGATCTCGTTATAAACTCCGAAACAAAAGAATCTGTACTTCCAATAGACTGATCTTCCCAGACAAATCCATATCCCATTTTATATATTAATAATTTCAACTTTGAAACCCAGTTAATATACACATGCACAAAAGTTAAGCGCCACCATATTCATAGTCTTTTGATTTCACGTGTGGGAATCAGAAATACGAAATATGATGATGTATGACTGAATTTGGCTTCCATAGTTTCACGAACCCAAATTTGTCCAGGTGCCACAAGGAAAGCGTGCTTTACGTGTTGCTGCAGTTCCCCTATCCTATAAATAGTGAAATGAGGAGAAAGTTAACGAACGCTGACAGATGGCAAGTGATAGGCATGAAAAATGATGGCATGTCATGCAGGGCCATTGCAAGACAAATAGGTCATCACCACAGTGTTATCACTCGTTTGATTGTCAAACATGGTCAAACCAATGATGTCAATGACAGGCATAGGTCTGGTAGGCCAAGAAAGACCTCTAACTGAGAGGATAGACGTCTTTTCAGGATAGTCAGGCGAAATCCATTTGCCACTTCAACAGATTTAAGACTGCAGTGGATTACCCATCAGGAACTCTCGACGATGACCGTAAGGCGTCGCCTCAGAGCGGCTGGTTATAACGCCAGAAGACCAGTAAAACGTCCTCAACGGACTGAGAGGCACATGCGGAATCGTCTGATATGGTGTCGTGCCCGTAGTCGATGGAACTTGGCCAAATGGAGAAGGATCCATTGGTATGACGAGTGTCGAATGCTGCTACGAACTGTTGATGGTCGAACACGTGTTTGGGGGGCAACGTAACACTCGTTTTGCACCAACATTCTCACTCCCCAACGTCCAACTACGTGGACAAAATTCTCACTCCCCAACGTCCAACTACGTGGACAGCATTCTCACTCCCCAACGTCCAACTACGTGGACAACATTCTCACTCCACAACGTCCTACTACGTGGACAACATTCTCACTCCCCAACGTCTAACTACGTGGACAACATTCTCACTCCCCAACGTCCAACTACGTGGACAACATTCTCACTCCCTTACGTCCAACTGCGTGTACAACATACTCACTCTCCTACGTCCTACGTCTCACTCTCCTACGTCCTAAGTCTCACTCTCCTGCGTCCAACGTCTCACTCTCCTACGTCTCACTCTCCTGCGTCATACGTCTCACTCTCGTACGTCCTACGTCTCACTCTCCTGAGGGCTTGCTGAGGGCTCTTTTTCCGGGATTGGGTATAATTTGAGACGCGTCAAGCATGACACCCGCCTTTCTGGGGCATGGGGCTGGTGTGTATGTGTATGCCTACAGTACAGTGGAGTGGCCTGTTAGAAACGGCCATACTTGCATATATACGGGTATAGAGAACATACATCAATATATTTTATCTTCTCTCCTTCCGACCTCCGTAAAACCCGTTTCTAGGGTTGACAGGGGGTGTGAAGGAACCTTCATCAGCAGCACCGCTACTTTGCCGGGTCATGTTTTTGACAAACTCCCCTAACTTTGCATCACTCCCACATCACAAGTCGCACTCCCACATGGCAACAAAGGGCGGTCGGGTAGCCTTGTGGTTAAAGCGTGCGCTCGTCACGCCGCAGACCCAGGTTCGATTCCCGACAATGTGTGAAGCTCCGTTCTGGTGTCCCCAGCCGTGATATTGCTGGAATATTGCTAAAAGCGGCGTAAAACCATACTCACTCACTCACTCACTCACTGCGCAACAACGTCTCGAACATGCGGTGTTTGCGTATGAGATTCAGCCGATACATTGTCCAGTCATGACGTTCCCTTGGTGAGAAATGAGAAACTCCCGCCCTTACAGTCCTAAAACATTAACGGCATCCGTGAAAATAGCAGCCCAAGAATGAAGAAACAACATGGTTGTGGATATCATACCCGTCAACAGCGAAATTATGACTCCGCATTTACGCTTCAATTCACCCCCCTAGGGCGCGAGCGGGGCACAAACGACGCATGCTAGGGTAGCTGTGCTGTAACCATGACAACCTTCGTTAAGCCACAGCTGACTGATTCCAATCAGCGGGATACCCCTGCGGTGATAGAATGGCGATTTGACGTTCCTTCAAGAAATTTGCTCTGAACATAGTCATGCATAGTCACCATTGACCTCGGAAAACATTTCTCGGAGTTTACCACGCCCCTGCCTCAGGATGTCAACATCGCTTCGGCAATACCTAAATAATAATTAAAGCTTTGATTCTTATTTCCCTCATACCATTTAATGAAAAGTGCTTTTTCAAATGCACACATGCTGTCAGGGTCGTAGAAATAGGTTCTCGGCAGTGTATTGCCTACATTATATTGATTTTCAGCTGTTGAAAACAGTGTGTAATAAAACACATTATTACCTGTGCAGGTAGGAAACAGTTTTTCATTCATACAGCGCAAAGGTAAAGGCGCTATGTGTCACTCTGCTGGCGGCACCCCCGCCTAACAATGTAAGTGTACATGGGTAGGTAGGTTTGGCGACATAGGCGTTTAATGGTATGCAGAATAGGTGTTGGGGGCGGAGTTGCGGTCTGATTATGTATGGTGGGAGGTTTGAATAACAATTAGCATAATAAGAAGGCGGGGCCTCGGGTTGCACCAGGGTATATAGAGCTGGTGTGCGAGATACGCTAAATGTAATTTATTACATGCGGAAAGCGCACGTTAAATCCCCGAACGAACGAACGAAGCCGATAGCGAAATACGCTATGAGTCGGAAAGCGCACGTTAAATCTCCAATGTGATGATGATGAAGATGCCGATAGCTGACTGCTATATTTGCAAACAGCCTTGCTACACCTGCCTAACATACTCTGGACCAGCTTGCTGACGTACCGTGTAACCATGCCTTTCACTACCTTCCTATGTCGCCGCTGCCAATCTGACGACCACCATTACACCGTGTGCCCCAATGCCAGCTGCGAAAACAAGTGTGCAAACCCCATGGGACACTGGTTCTGGCGCTGCCCCGAGCCGTGCAGCACCTGCGGGGAAACCGGGCACGCAGCACCTAGGTGTATGAGTGGCGGCACTAAACCTACAGGAGCAAACAACCTAATGTGCCATAACTGTAAAGAGCTGGGACACGCGGCTGGGGAGTTTAAGAAACCGTGCGGTGAGAGAGGATGCGGTAGTACCGACCACACATCATACACATGTCCCATGCGCAAGGCCAGACAGAAACGTGGGGGTCCACCTCCCCATTTAGCCAACTATGACTGCTATAGATGCGGTAATATGGGGCATTTTGCGAGCGGTTGTGTGCTACCCTGTAGATGGTGCAAGCTGTTAATACAAGGCCATCATGCCCGTTATTGCGCAGAGCGGCCAAGTGACACAGAACACCAGGCGTCACCGAAGGCTGGAAAAGAACCCTACCCTACAACTCCCCCTGTGACACCCCCGAAGGAGGAAGACACCCCAACTGTTGGTGTACCCCCTGTGCCACCACCGAAGGTGCAAGGCACCCCACCCGTAGCACCGCCCCGCACCTCCAGAAGAAAGCGGACAGCAGCCCTCGTGACCCCGGTAAAGAAACGCCGGGGAGTGATAAGAGATGACAGCGACAGTGATGATGTTGGGGACTTAATAATAATTGAAGATGCAGAACCTTCACCAGCCCACCGGGAGCTCAATTTCCCACGTGTAATCTGATATTGTGATCAAGATCACCAGTCAGCTGAAAACATGAAAAACTGCTATACAGTAAACTACGGTTATAACGAACACGCTTATAACGAAATGACGGATATAACGAACTTACTTTTTAGTCCCGACTATTTGCTGTAGTTATGTTGTATATGTGCATATAACGAACTATGGTTATAACGAACTAAAAGTAGAAGTCCCTTTGAGTTCGTTATAACCGTAGTCAACTGTATATGCAACCCGGGGATTGAGTCCGAGGAAGAAGGGTAGTTGGGGTGTTACGTGCTGCTTGATATAATAAAATTTCTCAAACATGTAATGTTTTGTGTGCTTATTTAATTGTTTAGTATTCCTTTTTGCTTTCAAAATGGCGCAATGGGGAAAAAGGTTTTATATAGACCAGACACAAGTGTACGGTACTATAAGCATGCATGCATGCACACGTACATACACACCTGCTTACAGCCTGTTTAAATGCGTTTATTTCATTGTGTGGCTACTCTGCTTTACATCAGGACAATATGCGCTGGCATGCACAGTAGACATATGTAGCAGGTAACATATGCACTTACACTCGACCCGTGAAGATCCGGGGTAGAATAGGTCTTCAGCAACCCATGCTTGCTGTAAAAGGCGACTATGCTTGTCGTAAGAGTCGACTAACGGGATCGGGTGGTAAGACTCGCTGACTTGGTTGATGCATGTCATCGATCCCAATTGCGTGGACCGATGCTCAGGATGTCAAACACTGGATTGTCTAGTCAAGAATCGATTATTTACAGACCGCCGTCATATAGCTGGAATATTGCTGAGTGCGGCGTAAAACAACCAACCAACCAACTAACACTCAGGACCCATGAAGACACGAGTAGAATGGGTGTTGAGCAACCCACGCTTACCCTAAAAGGCGACTACGCTTGTTCTAAGAAGTAACTAACGGGATGTGTTGTCAGGCTCGTTGACTTGGGTGAGCATAGAGTTATGTTCAGTATGTGAGTGAGTGAGTGAGTATGGTTTTACGCCGCTTTTAGCAATATTCCAGCAATATCACGGCGGGGGACACCAGAAATGGGCTTCACACATTGTACCCATGTCGGGAATCGAACCCGGGTCTTCGGCGTGACGAGCGAACGCTTTAACCACTAGGCTACCCGACCGCCCCTGTTCAGTATGTGTATCAACGGGGTGTGTGGTGCAGATTCGATTCCACATTCAAACATTGCGCTGCCATATAGCAGCGATATTGGTGAGTGCAGCGTGAAACAAACAACAAGCAAACCTTGCCTATACAGTAAACTACGGTTATAACGAACACGCTTATAACGAACTGACGGATATAACGAACTAACTTTTTAGTCCCGACTATTTGCTGTAGTTATGCTGTATATATGCTTATAACGAACTACGGTTATAACGAACTAAAAATAGTAGTCCCTTTGAGTTCGTTATAACCGTAGTTTACTGTACATAGAAACATACTGTGTTGGTGGTTTGTGATAATGATACTGTTTTATTTTACTTCGAAAGCATTACATCATTTTGCCGTGCAGTTTGTGAACATAATCTTAATGAGTTGCGTTGGTGAGTTTAGCCTTTTAAAGGGCTGAGTTGTCACTAAAATCCAGACTCACAGTGGTTTAGGAGTGTGTACCCATATTTTGTAGTACCTGAACCGCGATATTACAGCAATATTACTAAAACTGGAAACAACCCTCCCTATTTGTAATGGATAAGGCAATAACTCTAAATCATTGTAAGCTACATTGTTTAATGCACTGGTATAAACATTAGTGAAAACATTTATCAGTGTCGGAAATACTTCTGCCTTTAGCGGTGTTGAAACAACATTCCGAATGAGCATTGCTGGCTCTTCCTGGTGGTGTCTACCCCTCGTCTTCATATATTATAGGAAGCTGTGTGCTGTTGTGGTTTAAGTGAGTTGGGTTTAACGCCGCTGTTAACAGTATTCCAGTCATATCACGGCGTGATGCAGGTCTCAGACGTTTACCACTTCGGTGAAACCCACGAGCACGGGTATGGTGCTGACAAACCTAGAAACATAATCGGGGCGAACCGGGATTCGAACCCACAATCATAGGTTCCTGGCGTGCCTAAGGGACGCAACTCTGCACAGCGAATCGCGGTGCCTTAGACGACTGGGCCATCCGTGCCCCCCGAGATGAAGAGAAATAATAACATAATAATGAACAAATATATGTCCAATGCTGAATATAATTTTGATTGTTTTGAAATATTCTTTTGTGTATTATATGACGTGGTGCCTTAGACGACTGGGCCACCAGTGCCCCCGGTTTAATGTGTTAGGTGTATGGTTACACTCCATTCTGTGGGCCGGTAACTGAAGCACGAGCAGGAAATCTCCCGTTGTGGTTCTTCGAGTGCAATGAAAAGAAGCCGTTTTTAAACATTGACTGTCATACACATTATGCTGCACGGAAATGACGGCCTTGATAATGTGGTTTTGGTTTGGTTTGTTGTTTTACGCCGCACTCAGCAATATTCCAGCTGTATGACGGCGGTCTGTAAATAATCGAGACCAGACAATCCAGTGATTGATATCATGAGCATCGATCCACGCATTTGGGATCGATGACATGCTTCAACCAAGTCAGCAAGCCTATTTACCCGTTAGTCGCCTTTTACGGCAAGCATGGGTTGCTGAAGACCTATTCTTCCCCGGATCTTCACGGGTCTGCTAATGTGGTAAATAAAATGGGTAAGCACTTACCGTTGCTTCTTTTCCTCATCCCTAATGTAGAAGTGTTGTAGAAGTTGAAAATCTGGCTCCATCTCCAATAAGTCCATGTTAAATTCATTGATATTAAAGTACAGGTCTCTGAGGTGAGGTGAGGTGAAATTGGGTTTAACGTCGCGTCCAATTTTTATTGCACTTATATAGCGACGTGCATGTGCTTGTACTAGTCCGCACTGATGCCGATTTATAGTGCTAGCCCACTGAGATACCATGCCACAGTTTAACACGAATACCCCACTCAGACACAGTATACTGACTCCGAGCCGACCAGTCCTTGTTTTAGCCCCTTAATGCCGAGCGCCAGACAGGGTAACAACAAGTACCATCTTGTAACGTCTTTTGGTATGACGCGGGCGGGGATCGAACCCCGGACCTTCCGCTCTCCGGGCGGACGCTCTACCTACAGGTCTCTGAAAAGCGACCAGTTGGGGTACAGCTCTACTGCGAGATAACACAGAATTCTGCGTGTGACTGGAAACATGAGGTTGCTGTAAAGGTAGGTCATGTGTAGGAGAAACCATTTCTTCGAGGGATTACTAGCGATTGTAAACCCTGACATGAGGTGACATACCGAGGGGAAACCCTGACATGAGGTGACATACCGAGGGGGTAAACCCTGACATGAGGTGACGTACCGAGGGGGTAAACCCTGACATGAGGTGACGTACCGAGGGGGTAAACCCTGACATGAGGTGACGTACCGAGGGGGTAAACCCTGACATGAGGTGACATACCGAGGGGAAACCCTGACATGAGGTGACATACCGAGGGGGTAAACCCTGACATGAGGTGACATACCGAGGGGGTAAACCCTTACATGAGGTGACATACCGAGGGGGTAAACCTTGACATGAGGTGACGTACCGAGGGGGTAAACCCTGACATGAGGTGACATACCGAGGGGAAACCCTGACATGAGGTGACATACCGAGGGGGTAAACCCTGACATGAGGTGACATACCGAGGGGGTAAACCCTTACATGAGGTGACATACCGAGGGGGTAAACCCTGACATGAGGTGACATACCGAGGGGGCCATGGTATGTCACCGAATGTCAGGGTTTACAATCGCTGGTAATCCCGAGGAGACATGGTTTGTCCAACTTATAAACCGACTCATCGCATAGACAACGTTTTTAATTAAATAACTGTAATAAAAACTCTCAAATGTTAACCTGTATCGGAGATGAAATATCGCCTGCAGTCTGGAACTCGGTTCAATGAAACCGGTGACCTCAGCACGTGGGTTTCGCAACGGTGCGAAATCTGCACGTGCGTCTCGCAATGGCACGAAATCTGCACGTGCGTCTCGTAAGCTGTTCGTAGTTTTTGTTCTATCAAGGGTTTACATTGATTGTAAGCCCTCCTGCGAGGTGTTACAATCGTTGTAATACCTCCTGCGAGGTGTTTTCAATTTCAAAAACTCCATATCGAGTTACACAAACAGCCAGTAGGTTTATAATGCTTCATCTTGCATAATTGATTACTGTGCGGTGGTAAGCCGGACGGTATTTGCACACCGGCGGGGATTGGTTTATATAGATTATTTAGATGTGCATGTATGCATTTAAGTAGATTAACGCAGTGCGGTTGCATGGTTTTTATCTGTTATTCTGACATGTTGGCGTAATGACACATAATATCGCTGAATAGATGTGTATACATCAAACCGATTCGTGCATACCGCTGATGCGACACCATTATTTTCCCTAGTTAAACCGTGTGATTTATTTTTCCTACAGCAGGATTAATAGTGATTTCTCTTTTTGCAGTATGTTTCTATTAGAAACAGTACGTCTACGTCTACGTCAACATGTTCTCAATGCTTTTCGAGCACCCCGTCCAGCATTCTCACATTCGTCACTTAATGGGGCCTTGGTATGTTGATAATGCATAATTCTAGTTCTTTTCATCATACAATCTGCAGAATCTAAGATAACATTGACGAAATCATCTATAGTCCCATCCATGTTAAAATCCAGTTTACTCAAAAGTAGTTGATTACAAAACACCATTCTTTCCCGCTGGCTGTTTAAAAACGTTTCATAAAGTGAGTGAGTGAGTGAGTATGGTTTAACGCCGCTTTTAGCAATATTCCAGCAATATCACGGCTTCACACATTTTACCCATGTGGGGAATCGAACCCGGGTCATCGGCGTGACGAGCGAACGCTTTAACCACTAGGCTACCCGACCGCCCCGTTTCATTAAGAGATTCATTCCAAACAGTC